TAAATGTTTTGTTGTGAATTTGGTTCTAGTTATTTTGGTTCAAGTTTCACAGATCTAATGGTGAAACTGACGAATTTATAAAATGTATTCATAAAATTTCACTTCAATTCATCATTTGCACCAAAACTACATCCAACAGATATAATTTTCGGTTTCCAACCTAGCTGCAACTGAATTTTTGGCGAAAAAAAATTATCAAATCTATTAAAAAAAGAAATATGGGTGTAATAAAAATGAGATAACATTCGTTCCTACGATTACTGACAATAATATCCATACACTGAAAATCCAAGTCCGTTTCACAATTAAATGAAAAAACTAAATGAAATTTGTAGGCCAACGTGGATATTTTCTGAGTAAGTCTCGTATTATTCGAAATTATGAAATTTAAATTTCGTTCGAATCGTAAGTGCGAAATATTTAAAGAATCAAAACAAAAAAGAAAAAATTTAAGGTGACAGAAGTGAATTTAAATTTTGAGAGAGGATATTGAATTGGAAACTGAGCAACTTTTTCCCTTGTAATTTGTTTAAATATCTTAAAAAACCTTATTTTTCTATGATTTTCTAAAAATGTAGAATTTGGCAGGTTTCAAGTAGTTTTTCACTGATTTCTTTCTTTCATTTGTTTTGTAGACTGTTAAATCCCACAGTGACGTAATATTTCGATTTTCATCGAATGTCTGCCAATTCCATTACACAAAATCGTCCAAGACACTAAATCATATGACCACCGTGGAGTATTTCAAAAATGTCATCATGAATAACCAAGTAATTCAGCCCGATCTCATACAAATCCCCATTATAATAAACTTGCCAGATAATTCGGACACAAATCCCCATTCAAACTATAATCCCCATCACATTACGTATGTTTTTCCCCATAAATTACGTAATCGTTCCGGTGGCAAATAAAACAATTTGTATTTACCTACCGCTCGGTTCTTTTTTTTTCTGTTTCGTCGGAGCGATTTGTAAGTACCTACCCCTCGTCCTCCCGACCTCCACCCCACCTCCGGAGTGGGAGCGATCCCGTCGTGGGACGTCGAGATTTCTCTCCTCTTCCGAAAACGACAAAAAAAGTTCCAAGAGTGCCTGGACAAGCGCGAGAGGCGTACGTATCGCACAAGGCGACGCCGACGACGCCAGCGATGCTAGTCCGCAGGTGCGGTGACCGCCGGCGTCGCCGGGCCCACCCGACGCCTTCCACTCACCGATGCGGTTTCTTTTTTCCGAAAAAAGATTTTTCTCGTGAGTCTCCACCCGTTCCAGGGGATAGGCTAATCGACCGAAGAGGCGGAGTTTCCCATCTGCGCCGAGATACACACTCTTTCTATCTTAATTTACAACACAACACTTTACGAGGATGCGGAGGAGGTAGAGAGAAGACGAGAGAAAAAAAAGAGAAACGGGAGTTCTTTTTGCGATGTGTCGTATGCCACGGCTTAGCCTAATGAAGGCTAAACAACATGGACGTTATCGATGGAATAGTTTTTCATCCGGATCGACTTCTTACAGAAACGATTTGACGTTTTTTCAATATTGAGGTAAAACGATATTGATATTTCTTCGAAATTTCAAAGCCAGATTCCTTATGGCTCAACTGGAAATTCAGAAATGTATCTTTTTAGAAAGGATACCCCATTACTTACAATATCATGAGAACTGTATCGAATTAATAATTCCAATAATAATGACAATTATGATACTTACAAATGCTCAATAGATATCAAAATAAGTAAAATTGCTAGGAATCTTGAAAATATTCCTCTGACCTTTCGACTAACTCATATTGGTGAGATTTTTGTGTGAGTACAGGAATATTATATAGTACCAAATATATAGTACTTATAAGGAGTCAGTTATGGGGGAAAACACCGTTCTCTTTAATTTTGTGCTTTTGATCTTCTAAGAGTTGCTCATGAAAATGATGAAAATTGAATCTGAATACGTTCATCTTGGTTTTCTACGCCAATTTCTCAATGGCCTCGTGAAACATCAGAGTAGCTATATTAACCTCAATTTGAAAGATGAAAGAACTCAACACTAAAATGTTCAAAATGTATTTTCTACCAATAAATTACAGGTAAAATCAGTCAATCTCAAGACTACTAAAAACTACATATTGTTTTTTGAACTACTCAATTCTTCAACAGAAAACATGTTTTACTTGCTACTTTTTCGTTTCAGATGAATTTTCCAATAATTGAACATATTGTCAACTCACACTTTGTATTAGTAAATCGTTCATACACATTTTATTATATTATAGTAGATTTTTTATTCCTGCAGCGATGAATGAAATGTATCAACTGAATTAAACTTGTAGGATTATCAAGTATTCGAGCTTCTGGACACCCAAAACGTCGTATTATTTGCCATTTTCCAAATTTCAAGAATCATTGAAGTCTTATATAGGCTGCACTCCATTATTTATTTTTATGGCATCCATTCGTAGTAGTACTTGTTCCTAGTTCGTACAGGTCCTTGGTAAGATATTTGTCATACTCTTCTAGTATTATGAACTGACACTTTGGTATATGATAGTTTATTTCAACAAAAACCTTCACTACTAGTCTCAAATATGTCGAAATGATTCCAAAAAACCCTGAACAAATATAGCATGTTTTCAAAAAAAATTGGGCAAGATAGTTTCATACTAACTTTCCTTCAAAAATCTTAATTATTCACTCATTGGAGTCATTTTTGCCACAACAAATTTACAAATTACCACAAATCCAAAGGCTTTCTATGTATATTCAGAAAATTTTATTATTCTTTTTCTCAAGTTCGTTTATAATATTATTCCCAAAACATTCTGAGAGCATTGTTTTTGGTGACAAGACTTATAAAAATGTCACTGTTGAGATTATAATGGATGAAATGAATATTACTGCAGTTTTATCCCAACACAAAACCGTTATTTTAACACCTCTTCACGTGTTTTGATATCCAAGTGATCATCTCCAAGAGGAAGAATAAATTGAATATACATGCAATGTTATCCTTATTTATACCATAGATACCTCTGTTAGGTACCTGCGTCATAATTGTCTTAAATTAATTTTACAATGTGATCTAACGTAATAGTATGGTAAATCTGATAATTAAAATATTATTTCAACAAGCTATATAGTATACTATTAGGTATTGGTCCAGCATTGTTATTCGCAATATTATTATGTTTACTTATTTCTACACTCTTGTATGCCTGTTGTTGCTAACTTGTCTAACTAATCTCAATGAACTAAAGTCTATGGAACGGTTTTGTTCCAAAATATGATAGGCGAGTGTTGATTTTTCTGATCTTCCATATTTTAGGTGTGCTTAGTGTTCCTTATATCTTATTTTAATACATCTTTTAGACTGCCCATAATATTTGCATCGCAGTCCTTACATTTGATTCCATAAATTGAGCACAATCTCAGTCGAGCAGGAATTTTCAACTGTTGCTACATTGTTTTTATGATGTTTGTCGCATCAGCTGCACATGAAACGGCTGATTTAAAAACTGACACATCATGAAAATGAGGCACTTTTTTCAGTCAAACTCCCATCAAATATACTCTAAAGTGTATAAAAATAAAGAAAATATCATGATATACTGAAACTTATTTTAATCCATTTTTCTGAAGGTTGACTTTCTGGTTGCAAAAAATACTACTCTGATACAAGCTCTGTCACAAGGATATGCATATATTGCAACATATCTTCATAGCTTTGTAATATTTTTTTCAAAAACAAATTTAAAAAAAAGTTAAATAAAAGCTGATAAAAAAAAGTTTTTTCTCCAAAAGACATTCAAAGTTATGTCATGTATGTGAAATTCGAGTTCAAAATTCAATATCAAAGAAGAAAAACTAAGAAAAAACACAAACAACCTAAATGGCGATAGGTTCTTAATATCATTGTGTATTGCTGAGTTCTTCATCCTCATGGTATTGCTTTTCATTTTCAAGAATAAACTGCATCATTTAGGCATCTCTATAATTGAACCACCTCGAGAATTAAAAAAAACATCTTCACTGAAAATATTGAATCATATAATAAACAGTTTTCACCTTTGTCAGTTAAGTTTTCCTAAAATGCTGACCATACTATGTGGTATCTTCGTCATTTTTCAATGAAATATCTAATTTAAATATAAAAATTGAAGGAATACACTATTTCCAGGTGAATAATCGATATAATTGAAGTATTTAGTGTATAAAGGGTATTGAAAAAGACTAATTTCAAGAGTAGCCATCATCTAAGAAAATTCATTGTATTCCAATTATCGTGTCGTCAAGTTGTATGATTATAATAGTATCCGCTGGCAGGTTTAAAAACCTGCTATCAAAATAGCCTTGACACATTTACTCAATTGTTTCATTGTCGGGGAACAAACCTTTATTCCTTGTCAAATTTCTAAACTTGAAAACAATTGAATGGCACCGTGTGCAATAATTCCGTTGTTACACAGTATAATAAAATCTAATAAATCCATTTCGCTGCTAAAAAAGTAAAATGAAGACCTTCTCATAGTACAGAAACTACATAAGATGATTTCGAAAAACATATATCAATCAGTTCCAGACTGAAATAAAATTCATTGAAAGATTGAAATCAAAAGAAACACATTGCTGAATGGTGGAAAGATAATATTTGAAAAGCTAAATTAGATCAGCAGATGATGAATTGAATTGACAACTGTTCAGTAACGACAAAACAGTAGAAAATTCAATATTTTTTCTTTCCCAGATATACAAACGAAAATGTACTTCTCATTCTATTCACTATTACATTTTCTAAAGCTCCACGAAAGAAACATTCACTTGGAAAAAACGAGATTGCCACACGAATGGTTTCTGTCAAACCCATAAAAATTGATACTATTGTATTCAAATGTAGCTACAAATTGTTCAAATCCCCTCGTAAAACTCCATCGCTCCTACAGCCACCCTTAACGATTTCCCGAAACTTTCGGTAACAAACTTTTTAACGATTTTCTCTTCTTTTCAGAGGGAAGTAAGTGCCCCACCCCGGGCTGTACCGGTCAAGGACACGTCACAGGGCTCTATTCCCATCATAGAAGGTAATTTTTTTGTAAAAAATAATTTCGTTTCAAACTAACGTTATTTATTTCTATAGTCTGTCGGGATGTCCGCGCAAAGACAAGGTTACTTCGGAAAGTAAGTCGAGAATGCGAATTTGGTGTCTTGTTCTCGTTGATTCTGGCTGAATTATGTTCTCAATACTGAGTGAATCCATAATATACACTTCTCAAGGTTTTTTGGCTTTCTACTTCTTCATTATCATATCAATGATGCAGAACTACCATAAAAACCATTTACAGATTTTTTTTCACATTTAAACCGAAAGAAATAGTTCATTTGAAACAGCTTCTGCCCCCTCACTGTTATTGAATTGAACAAAAAACACCTTTTCCAGTTTCTACAACTGAAAAAGTCTGGAATATTTTGGAACATCATTGAATATCCCAAATCATTATAAAACATTCCAGAACATTTTTGAATGCTGTGGAAAGCTCTGGATCATTCTGGACCATTATGAGGCTTTTTTTAAACTACTCTTGGAAGTCTAAATTTATAGGAGCTGAAAATTGATGATGTTTACCTCTCAGTGCACGAATTTTTTAAATGTTTCGCTGATCTTTCTTCAAATATTTCAGTATGTATCTCGTCTTCCATTTCTGATCCAGGTAATAGAAATATGTTTGCGGAAAATCCATGCTAGAACTATCCCACCATGAAAATTAATGGAAACTGGTGTATTTGAGATAAAATACTTGAATAACTTTGGACTTGGTTGTTGAGAAGCACAAAAATTGAGAACATAAATGAGCTAATTATCGCAACGTTCACTCTTCCACAAGCTTTTTCAATTTATTTTCCTCTCGAATAGTTTTGCTGCATTTTTACCGGGTAGAGAGCATATTATTTTTATTTTCGAGTAGTTTGCATCCATCATAATCCACCCCATTCCAGTCCCCGACCTGACGCAAACGGAATCAGTTTTGGTTTTGAGTATAATAACATAGTTAATCTGTGTGTGGAAAAATCTCTGTGTGACCAAGAATAACAATCGAAAACGGTTCACAAAATCTTCAAATTCAATAAATTTTTTGCGATTATTTGTTTTGATTTTTCTGGTCTTTTGATGTTCCCACACAGTTTTTATTATACTCAATCGAGGTTGGCTAATACAAGAACTGAAGAACTATCAACTTTGAGAAAATTCAAATTTTCAATTTTTTTTTCAATCTCAGTATTCTACAAAATTCATTATTTTTTTTTAAATTGGCCGTATATACACTTTGATAATGAGACAATAATACTCAATATGGTATATGATGAACTCCAAATATGTCACAATGATTTCTGAATACTCAAAAGGATGAAAAATAGATCCACTGAAAATCTATCAAAATCATTTCAAGTAGATTCTTCACAACCTAATTAGAAAAGTGGATTTACAGATGAATTCTGATTTCATATTGTAGCTATAGAAACAATTTCTGTTTTCCACACATTCATTAAAGAGGTTATGTCATCAACTTTGACGTGGTGACCTACATGAATGAAAACGAATAATAAATTGCAAAAGCCAAAAACTTCAATGGTCCACCCTTACAAAAATTTGAAATTATGAGACCACATGAAACTCAGAAGAAACCCATAAACAAAAATATTCTGTCTATTTGTTCGGTAATTTTGGCATAGCTACGGTTAAATTGTCATTTTGTCGATGATAATATCAATTTCTCTTGACACCGATATTCGTTCGATATAAAAATGAACAAAATGAACAAAGTATTCAATGATTATCTTAGTGAGACTTGCAATAATCAAAGTAGTTGAAACTTAAAAAATGCTTAAAAAAGATTCTCTTGGGAACTTCAAAGCCGTTTGGATGGACCCTATACCTATATTTTATTTGAAAGCTAATAAAGATAGTATCCTATATAGTTTTCACATTAATAATAGAGTTACTCAGATTTCATTACCAGGTTTTTCAATTTTCGAAATGGAAATATCATCTTGATGATTTAATTGTACTGCCAAATTCTTCTTATGATCCTTGTATAGTAACTGTGTAGGTCAATATGCAATTCTCAATATGTGCATTCTTTGTGACAGTGTAGTGACAGTCGAAAATACATTCTCCTGGTCCTTTTTTGAATGAGTTATTTATAACCGAGGCTCACTACATTCAATAAAAAGTTTTGTTTTTGATTATCGATCAGAAGTTCTTGAATCAGCTAACCTTAAAAGAAACAAACTGATTCTATTATCGTGACCTAGTCCTTGCCCTACACGAGACCATCCTCAAGTGCCCGACCCCGGGATGCAACGGAAGAGGCCATGTTAGTTCGAATCGCAACTCCCACCGCAGTTTGTCAGGTTGCCCAGTAGCAGCAGCGAACAAGCAAGCTGCTAGGGAACACAAGTATCACTCGAGCTTGGGCAGAGTCAAATCCCCCAGCAGCTCCCCTTTCGGCGGTAAGATCTTCAATGTCGAGTCTGTGTGAACTTTCCAACTCCTCTACTTGTCTGCCTGCATAGTTTTCGCACATTTGTTATGGTTCGCCTAACACCGCAGTCTTAAATAAGTATTTTGTTCTTCAAGGTGGTGCTCAAAGCGAATTCACTCAAAGCTACGAAAGCAAGAGGTCTCCTACTTCGGAAGACGTTAAGCCCAATTATTTGGTTTATGGGAATCCTTCGACGACGTCAGCTGATGACAAGCCTACTTACGACCAATTTTACAGTTCCAAAACGAATCCTATCAAGCCAGATCCGATGAAAGTCCCAAAATCTGAATTAACTGCTAGTAATTGTTGCAATGTTGCTGGACAAGGAGAACTTCTAGTACCAAAAACAGAAATGCCAAGTTCTTGCAGGTGAGTTGAATATCACGCATTAGTATTCAATGAAACGAGTCCCAAGGGTAATGTAAAGAAGGGCACCTATATACAATTTTTCATGATTTTTTATACCACAATAGCTTAATTAAGATTTACAACTATCGATATCGATGGTTGAATATTCATTCCCATCAATATGTGTGTCGAAGAATATTCTGAAATGGATCACACTGTGCTCCATTGCTCATGGGCTAATCTCATCCTTGGGCAAATCAAAAAAATCAAAAGTGTCGAGCGATACGTAATATCAAAGAGGGACTATTGCTTTTGAATCATTTACAAAACGATATGTGGATACTTTTTGGGAAAAAAATGTTTATCAATGTTGGCTTTCACTAGCAGAAACATGCGTATGTTTATTTCTCTTCATTGTCTAAATAATATTTTTTAATGGAAATTCTCAGTTACTCTAATATTTCTTAACAGTTTATAAAAATAGTTTTGATCACGAATGTCAGCTTTTGTTTAAAAACATTTTCTTCCATTCCGAGTTACTTGAAAATCCTTCATTGGTGACATGAAGAAATATTGAGGCTGTTGCTGTTGAGGATGTTGCTATTAGTAACACAGTTCTCATCATCGAATTTGTGAGCACTATGGCCAACAAGCTGCTGATCTCCTTCATAAAATGTATTACCTTCTCAGCTCGATGATTGTCTTGTCTTCATTCAGATCAAACGAATTCTGAAAGTACTCAATCTCACTCAATCTACCAGTACTAATTCTCATTAGTATCAATCATATCACCTGAAACATGTTCCAACTCACATCAGTGTTTTTATCTGGACCTGGAACAAAATAAACTCAGGACGTTACTAACCAAGTGAAGTTCTATGGTGAAAAAATCCAGAGAGTTTTTTCTGATGAAATAAATGTCGAAGAAAAGTTCCGCTTTCTGCTTCAATTAGTTTATCGGATATCTAACGGAATATCAATAAGTCTGAGCACAATGACTTCACTGAAACAACTTATCAGAAACATGGAATACTGCTTCAAATCAGAAGGTTCAGCAACTTCTTTCATGAAGCTGGAATTTCAAACATTGCCTACGTATTTAAAGAATTACCCTTCACCATACTCTGAGTATGTTCGATTTCATTCATAAAAGAGTCCTCCGCCTTATTGGAAACCTATCCGGAACATCAAAGAGAGAATTAGAGACTTTTGTCTCACTTCTACAGATACCTTGACTAGAAAGAAGATCGACTTCGAAGTTCTCACAATATAGTTCACTGAATCCTGGAGTGTCTTAATTATCTCCTTAAAATGGATCCATTTTACCAAAACACAAAGTCAGCTTCAATATCTATGAGTATTACACATGATTCTTCTCTTCCAAATGAGGTATAATAGCAGTAGTATCTATAAGCCCTCTGGTTCTCTGTCGAAATTTGTCTGCCCAGAGAGGCCGATTGTTGAACCTAGTCAAATTTTGTCATTGGGTTATCTCTCCCTCATGTTTATCAAATACATTCTATCAGAAGTAATTCCTGAATCCACATCTTTCTAGATCACCTCCGTCGGGAATGAGATCAGCCTACGAACCCTACATAAATCAAGATTCAAATTCTTCTTCGATGTCAAGTATGGACACGATGAACTCGAGGGGTCCACATCAAATTCACCACACCGCTCCTCACATGGGTCCCCATCACAATCCCCAACAACCAGGGTACGTATTTGTTTCCGTCATAGTTATCAAAATCTCAGTGATGTAATCTAATTTCAGATACAATATGGATCATCAAATGCCTCACCGATCTCCCTACCATCAGTCACCAATGTCCGAAGAAATGTATCACAGGGAGCGATCCTACGCTGAAATGAGCGATTCAATGGGAAGTGCTATCGCTAGACCAGTAGTCACCTATTCCAACGAAATAGTTAATAGATCGTACGATTCAGCTTTAATAAATTCGGCCAGTCACAGGCCGTATGATCCTGGTACCACCAGTTTCGAAAGGTAACTCAACAAGAAATATGTAAACTGTATACATTAATGGCATTACTTTTTAGGTACGACTCTAGCCAATGTGTTTCTCTTCAACAACCCTTGGGACCTCCAAGGGTACCACCACAGGGTATGTACGGGTATATGGAAGAGCATCCGGAGCAAAGGTATCAGCAAGAAGCCGCAGCTGTTCAACAGCATCAACTAGCAGTAGCGAACGCACAAGGATTAATGAAAAGCGAAGAGCAAGAATCAAGTGGACCCCTTTATCCCAGGTACGGGTTTATTTGAGTAATATAATGATCCTGTCTGAACCGTTACGTCTCATCATGAAAATGGTTCGATGATTGTGCAAGATAAATATATAATATGCCAGGGAAAAACAATGAGATTTTCAAAAGGAATTTAACTCGTTCGATTGATGACTTATTTATTTTGTAGAAATTCATGTTGAATATAGAATAAAGAAAATACTTTTGTCTAGTTTCTACTGTGTTTATTTATTCGTTACGACCGGTTTCGGCTTATAAGACTTGAAAATGGCCTTATAAGCCGAAACCGGTCGTAACGAATGAATAAACACAGTAGAAACTAGACAAAAGTATTTTCTTTATTCTATATTCAAAAGGAATTTATTTTATGATGAAACCTTTGCCTTTCCAGAACGTATATCTGGCGATCAGTTGCAAAGCCAAGATTCGACGTCGACCGCCAAATTAATTTACCTATCCAGTTCTGTGTAGATTGTTCAGTTTAAAAATCTGTTTAAAATCTGTTTTTCCGTTAATCAGCTGCCGCCCCCATACGAACGACAACTCTCAGAAGTTGAGAAACTTGTGCGAGCTAAGGACTAACGAGGTCTTACTTTTTAACGTGTGATTCCTAACACGGTTGCAGAATCATTCCAGCTTCAACCAGATAAATTATCTCAGGAAGAATATCTGGTCGAGGCGGGAATCGAACACACGACCTTCCGATCGTGAGTCGGACGCACTACCACTGCGGCCAATTCCACAACAGTGAAAGAGTTCATATCATAATTTTGCTTTGCCAAGCTTGTTTAAGGATTGTCCTGGTATTCAAAACATCCATTAAGGCGTTACATCTGTCTTTGTCTCGGATGAAATGCATTTCTCAACTTTATATTTAAATAAAGTCTCCAATATTGTAATAATTTCTTAGAGATATGCGTGTATTTAGAATAGTATTATAAGTAATAAAACGTAGGATATACACCAAAATATGCATTTTTTAAACTATAAACTACCTATAGCTGGGATTTGTTTACTAAATTTTATTCCCATTAGTTGAGGTGAATATTGGTTGAAATTTGAAAATAAACCTGGAATCTCTGGCGTAGATTAAATCCAAAACAAACACTTTTCCTAATCATCAGAAACGCAATGATCCTCTTGAAGCGGTTTTCACCAAGTATGTGTCATCAGGAGATGAAGAAGTTTTCTTCACCTCCTGGAGACGCCAAAGAAAAGAATTGTATTTCTGGTGATTGGGTAAACTGCTTTTTTTGGATTCGTTGAAGTGTTTTTCATATTGTAATAATGAATATATTAATTTAGGGTTTGATGTGTTTCTCTTTGAAAGTATTTGTATTTATTGTTTGCCAGCATTGAGCCAAAGTTTTCAACTATTTCGTCAGATATTCCATTTGTATCGTATCACGAGTCACCGGTCAGCTTCTGTGTTCATTTCCCTGAAAATAAATTGAGTTATTTCTCTGCTATATATCCCTCGCTGCCCTCCTCTCGAGTGACACATTTTTTCAATTTAATTTTCAGACCAATGTATCAGTACGATGCTACGAGTGGCGGTCCCCTTCCTGTGGGCTTTTCAGCAATTAACTTATCTGTGAAATGTGTGACAACGGCCCACGCTCAAATGAAGGGGCCACATACGTCTCCCGGGGGCTCTGTTATCGATCTTTCGACGTCCTCTCATTAGTATCAATCATATCACCTGAAACATGTTCCAACTCACATCAGTGTTTTTATCTGGACCTGGAACAAAATAAACTCAGGACGTTACTATTTAACTTATCTGTGAAATGTGTGACAACGGCCCACGCTCAAATGAAGGGGCCACATACGTCTCCCGGGGGCTCTGTTATCGATCTTTCGACGTCCAGCGTCACCACTACCAGTCCACAGGTGAGTCACTTAATGCGATGTAGGTTAATTGGAATGATTGATAGATCTCTTCGTTAATTAGCTGTACTTTTTTAGTGCCATTTTGCTCATTGGACTGTCTGTCGAAAGATGAGAAGTACCACTTTCAAATGTATCATATACAATGATAATACTAATTATGATACATTCAGACAAACACGTAAATATCGTACATGGTAACCGATGAAAAAAATTAGTTCGTTCATTGGTAATTTTCGTTGGTTGATTCTGGGACCTAAATGTCGAATCTATTATCAAGAAGAGTCTATATGAAGTCCATCCGAACAGCTAAATAAGAGACCAATGCACCGGGTCTGATAGATTTACTAGTTAATACCATATGGAACCTCCCATATAAAAATAATGATTAGACCACGTAATTATACCACGCCGTCCATGACATACAAAGAAACTGCCGACGTTCGGCAACTATTTAGTTTATATGCAGTTCGAATTGACTTCGTATACACTATAAATGAAAGTTTGAAATCATGAATATACTGCCCCGTTACTTGATATTTCAGGACTCTCAACGATGAATATTTACGAAACTGGAAGTAACATTCGTAAAATCTGACGATACTTCTAAAAGTGGTTTCATTGCAAAAACAAATCATAGAGTTTTCTATCTTGTTCAACATACAATTACAATGAAACAGATTGAATATTTTTGGTGAAATATGGAAGTTGCGTATCTGAACCAGTTGAAATACAATCGGGTGTGCCTCATGGATCTCATATGAACTCATTATCATTATATCTTCTTGTAGGCAAATGAGCTTGATCAAGTAATCGGAAATAATTCATTCTTGAAGCTTACTAATAACTTGAAGTTATCTAAAACAGTTCGAAGTATTTGTGGCACTGACTTTCTTCAGTCCGATTTGAATAATTTCTATGAGTGGTGTTAAATATACGTGCTGAAACTGAATATTGATAGATCAGTTTCTGTTTTAAAATATGCTTTTCCGTTAACCAGCTGTCGCACCCCTACGAAAGGCAACCCTCAGAAGTCTGAACTTGTGCGAGCTAAGGATTAACGAGGTCTTACCCTTTAACGTGTGTTTCCTAACACATAGATAGCATAAAATACCATCGTCACGTTATAATAATCTTAATGGTAGAGTAGAGTCGAATAAAATTTGAATCTGTCGTAAAATAAATCTATTTTCTTTTACCACACCAGAACAAAAGTACTGTCTCTCGACATCTCCTGATGATGCTAACTTGGTCAGCAAAACGCACATCGAGAGACAGTACTCCTATTCCGGTGTGGAAAAAGTTTTTCCTATCGATCCTGTTGACCTAATTCATAGATTCAATTACACTACAATAACAGTGAAATCAAAGACTCAGGAATTACATTTGACACAAACATGGCCTTCATATACGACACGACTGAAATATTTATATGGAAGTGTTCAATTTCCATATAGTCTTTTTCAACGAAAATTACTTTTTTAGTCCTTTTCTGCCAGTCTGCCAGGTAATATTAGATACCTACTTCTTCTTTAATTAGCTCTATTACCTTCTTATCAAATTTTCGCGCCTGATGCTTTGTTTCAATTTTCCCAAAATCAACTCAATGGGAAAACACAAAAATGGGGGAGAAGTCTCAGTATAGTGTGTCCATACTTTTCAGCAATACTCTCAATGGCATACAGTTTTTCAAATGTTTCCGTCTGTAAAACTGTTGTACATTACAAAAGTTTGTATTTCATCTTTCCTCGAATTTTTATTCGCTATTTTGGTGAGCTGTCGCGAATGACAGAAAGCGTTGTCGTAGGAAGCGTTGTCAAAAACTATTACACTATTCTCATAGTTCTTCTAGTTCCCTGCCGGTTCATTTCTATGTATTGGTTTTTTAGGCCTTTGAGAGTACCGCAAACTTGCAATGTGCACAATATCGTTTACTTCGACTATAGCCTCATGTACTGTATTATTTCTATACTCAACTCGATTTCAAGAAAGTATCTACTACCAAACTATAGATACTTAGATACATGGATAGCCAGATAATAAATTTCAACATGTATAGATTTGTGAAAATAATGTAGAGGGTGTAAAAGAGTGTTGGAAGGTGCTTGATTGTCAAAATTTTACTGATATAAAAAGCAAAACATTAAAAATCGAATACAAAGCTACCTGAAAAAGAAGCACAACAATTTATTGAGATACAGAAATGAATCCAAGCCTTAACATGGAAGCAACCAAATAAATTTGCAAGTTAATAGGCGGTGCATTTTCAAGTACGATAACAGGTACTAGTGATGGTTTTTGTTAAATTTTTTCAGTTGAATCCTGGAGCTTTGAGGTCTGAAATTCCGCGAATAAACCTAAAGGTGTAACAAAATAACCAAAATACATTTTCCCCGAACGAATCTGACCGGTAGTCGTAATTCGAGAGTCAGTAGGCGGCTCTTCAAAATCCCAAAGCCGCCGTCGACTTACTTAAAGCGTCGTTATCCCGACCCGAACCTGAATAAATAACGTCGAATAACGAACTGTGATGCGGTTATTATATTTTCAGGTGGCGTACAGTTCACCGCACTACGGTGGCCAAAGAGTCGGAGGCAGCCCACAAGCGGCGGCCAGTCCCCACCTCTCGGCGAGCCCCCAGGTGCCCAGCCCCCAGGGCCAGACGCTGGACCTCAGCGTTAGCAGGCTGTCCCACAGGTTGGTTGTGTTTTGTTTATTTATTTACGAGGTGTGTTCGCTCAGATTGGCCGCAAAAGTCGGGTCTCGTTCGCTGTTCGGAATAAAACGTCGGCCGGGAGAGGTTGATTCGGAGAAGACTTCCGGTTTATTATTCATCACGTCGGTTGCGATAGGAAGTAAAAGAATCGTGTCAGCCGTCCATATCGGATGAGGATTCCGTTTGGAACACATGAATTTTCTCTAAGTTGACGATACTGTTTAGTTATTATAAATGTCAGTTGTCATACTTAGGTACACTTTAGACAAAAAATATCACACAAGCACCATACATCATCAATTCGTGCATCCGAATGAGTCGGCAAAGTAATGAAAATTAACTGATGTTGCTTCAGCTCCAAACATTTCAACCGTTTCATTTTTTAAATAGAAGCAAATAAAAAGTCAACCTTTGCTATAATTTTGGGGCAAGTTCATAAAATTCGTCAGCAATTCATTCATTGTTTTATATATAAACACATTATATTTTATATTTCGCATTTTTCAACCCCGATATCTTGAAATTCAAATATAAGATAGAGCCATTCCCATTTTGAGGTTAAACTTCAATATAAAACTTATTTACTGTGGAATATGAAATGCTCACAGTTAATTAGTGGTGAAAGTAACTATCTGCCTAGTATATTTTCAATTAATCACATTGAACTATAAAACGATAGATCTTCAATTGGTCCAAAACTCTTAAAAAATTGCCAAAGATATTTTCGTAGGTATAACTTTCCCTCTACGATATAAATTGCCAACCAACTGTCTATCGCGTTTTATATTGATGACGCATGTGTAATGTTTCTTTCCACCAACTGTAATTGATATTTGTTTCATTCGCTATGTGTAGTTGTTTTCATAATATTCAATTTCCATGTAGTTTTCTTGTTATTTAGTTGAAGTAACATTGTGAACGATAAAAATGACTACTGACACAATAACAAATAATAGAGTAGTCGACTAGGAAGAAATACATGTGATCCAAATGAAATCTTCATTCGATACAAACAATTCCGTTTCAATTTATACCTTTGCAAGCAAATTCACAAGAGACGTATGGAAAAGTTGTATGTAAGTTAAATAGAAGAGGAAGGAGATTTTCAAAGGAAGTTCCAAAGGTATTTTTTCATAAATATTTTAATTTCATCAGATTAGTTTTTCAGATTAGGTACATGGGAAAAATTGATCTTGAAATTTTCCCTGTTCGGTTTTTGGCGAGTGGAAGTTTTTGAGTAACTTCAACTTCTCTATTCAAAATATCCTGCCATTCAGTTGAAAGGTTGCTTGTGAGGGGTGGAAGAGAAAACCTTTGAAAATTTAACAATATATTTTATTTTACTGTATCAGTAAACGACAGATCCTCTACACTTGTTAAATCTGAAAGAAATGCAGGCACATTAATTTTTTTTTAAATCAGAAATACTGCATTTTGATCACATTTTACAGGAAAATTATTCTAACCTCAAACATGTCCAATGAATATTAGTTGCTTGAATTGAATTGGAGAAGTTCTGAATTCCACTAGTAACTGTAGCTTTTCACCACTCCATGGTGAAAAGCCACTACCGTCACTTCAGGTTTTTCTACGTTACAAAACTACTGAGGAGTTTATGGAAAGCCTCTATAAAACGAAAGAACTCAACTTCTGCTATCTATTTTTCTTAAAAACAAGAGTTTTTTGAATCTATATTCTAATCTATGTTCTATTTTCATGACATTTCATAGAAAGTGTTTTATAAGCATGATAATAATCGAGGTTATTTTTTGAAACATTTTGGGAATCTAACTCAATTAGAACTATGTTCTAAAAATTTCGACTTTTGAACTACAGGGAGCTGAAGTTTTCGAAAACAAATTTTTCATTCGCCCAAAGGTATTTTCTGCTATGCAAAAACATTCTTTATCGTTGCCAGTGTCGTCCCTACCTAATTTTTGCTCAGACATTTCAAAAATTGATTTGACATTGCTTTCCAGCAATGTCATTGTTGATGAGGAATGAAAACGTATCTAGTAGGTGAGAAGCAGATTTTGTTTTGATAGTTGCCTTCCCATTCTAAATGTAACAGTATTAGTTGGAACCCGTTGAGCAAGAGGTCCATACGAAAACCGGAAATTGAGGAGATCATTCTGCCAGGATTGTGTCATCAACCTCTTAGTCTGCCATATTCGTAACATGGCTCTAGATGTTCCTGACAACAGGTGCAAAGCCGTTCATGAAGTGCCTAAAACTCTTACATCGACAAAACGCGAGCCTATAACTACTTTATTACTATCATTGGCACTCCTACATTATTGACAGATGACCGGTGTTGCTCCGGGGATTGTTGAATCCGTTGTAGGAAATAAGAAGTGCCGAATTCATTGAAACTTTTCATTTCCCACTCTCAGGGTCAGACAAGCCAATAAGCCTGGTGTAGTCCTCCTCCATCAAATTGAGACGATATTCATCGTGCAGTTTCCACCTCCAATGAAGCGATCATTTTCCGAAAAGATGAGAAAAAACAAATGAAATTTCGGAATTTCGTCTTCGAACGTCTCAGAGTCTACACAGAGTTGAAATGGTTATTCTGATTGCTGGAGTTCTTAGTGGAATGACGCCCTACCTACTTCAGATCTCGAAATCGAACCAACTTTCAACCGGGCCATGGCATTGCGCCTGCTTGGGGCTCATTATTCCTCGGACCCAATGATCTCTTAGCTCACGGTACAGGAAGTGGATCTGAGCTTCGGAGAAAGGGCTCGACCGACGCAACCGTTCTGGTAAATTCACAAAATTCACCACTCTTCAAAAATCCAAATAACTCAAGATTATCTCCTATGATTAGCAGCCTGAGGTCTACCCCGACTATATACAGTAACATATGAACTCGGGTTCATAAGTAACTTGACCACGAGGTTCTATTGTTTGACTTTTTATATTGTTACGTCCTACAGCAGTCCTCAATATTATGTCTATTCGTGATCATTTCATAATAAACGAAGTTTACGGTCATGCAAATTCAATAATCTCATTTGATAATTCGAAATTGCAACTGAACAATATACTCCACTGAACTGAACTTCTTTATTATCGCACTTGTTCCACTAGTTTACTTTTTTATTAGTTGCTTTCTTTATTCTCGAACTATTTTGCGTTCTAAACTAGTCTGTGAACTAATTTGATCTGTCTCTGCATCTCGACGTTCTCTCATATATATACCACACTCGAACATTCTTGTATATCCTCCTATACACGTGAACATTCATGTATATTCACAATATGAAACTTAGCACGTGCCGATGCGACGTCATGCACGTTACATTGTCGGACTTGTGTCGTTCGCTCTCACGCCATGTTAGCTTCGTCATGCGCGTAAAAACATTTCATATCAGTCAGCAGGTCCTGGAAATGGTTCAAAATATGCCTCCTTTCTTTCTGAATCAATGAATGAATAGATTGTACCGGTGCAGTTTGCGATATAAAAGGAATACTTAACCATGAAAAGGTGACACAGCCAGAATTTTGTGAATTTTTGATATTTTGTCAAGAAAAGGTATACCTAGACTATAGGGGCAATTGAGAAGAAAATGGGGCGTCTTTTGTTGACAACTGTTGTGGTCAATATCTGATGAAATGTGAGAGATGAGAGGTTACCATTTATTCTTCCATTATCTCTGCAACAACTTTCACTATCGTCTTTTAGACGAAATTGCTGCAATTGGAAAATGTACAAATGTGAATGTACAGAACTTTTTACAATTGCTCTGATATTCCAAAGAGCTGTTGGATCGAAATGATGAACCTCAATATTTTCACTCGTTGTACCTTCAGAGCAATGATATACCCAAAGAATTCCACTCGGGATGTATTGCTGGACTTAAAGGACAGGAAAATGCGATGATGTCTCCCCTTACGACGACATGTATCAAAATAGAACCCAACAATGTATTCGTTATTCAGATTAGCCCCACTACTGAGGCATATAGAAGGTCAAAAACTCCCGTGATCTATCATTGCAGAAATTAAATCCCAGCAATAAAACCCTCATTATTATTATCATTAATAATAATTCGAATATTCAAGATGGTGGCGGTTAAGTATTCCTTTATCAAAAAATCATTTTTCAAAATTTCCGGCTGTAGAAATCCGAAAGCACTTTTTCGAAATCACGCGGGTGCTGCATCGATGATTTTTATAAAAACCGCCATATTTTTATAGCAGCGATACGAACCCGCAATACCAAAACGGCCACAGTGAAGCTGTACCGGTACAACCTCGTCCGCCCCCCGGCTACTCGCCCCCGCGGGATGAACAAATGGAACCTGTCGATTTCTCAACCGCAAATGAACCCACCGTTAATTTCAGTGGCGTGCGGCCTGTGGCGACCTTCGCTTCAAGCGCTGGCGGCGGGCCCGTCTTGGCGCCTGGCTCCGGCTACAGCAGAGAATCCACCCCCGACAGCGGAGGCAGCCACTACATGGATGCCTACAGGGATCCAGCAGGTACGTATCAGTGTTTCTTGCCCTGAATAATATTGACTACGCGATTGCTATTTCTGCACCAAGTTGAAAATCAGAGGACAACGACGAGGTCGTTGTCAACGTCACTTTCATTCGACAAAACGTGTTGGTTAATGCGACTGTTTGGCGAACAGGAGAGCCAGGTTCGAATCCCGGTCGGGATCAAATCAGTTTTTCTTTCATTTATATCTACATACCGTCAATTGACTCTTCCATATTTATATTATAGGCGATATAACTTGTATTTATAGTCGGTTTATTTCATGCAATCCTGATGTTGCTCATATATGTGAGCGATTCTAGAATGAAATAACAATTTTACTTCGAATGCATGAAATTTAGTTGTTTAATTCCTCATAACCAACCAATGTCATATTCTTCGCACCAACACCACGCAGAAATGAATTAGAGATGTGATTCATCGGTCATTCAACTCGGTTGCTGGTTAGTGCACCCGGTCAGGTCACATTTTTTCAACTCAGTTTTTCATCTATCTCGGCATACAGCCAATTTACCCTTTCACAATAATGAAGATCTTGATGCATCTACTCGTTAATAAGAAACATATCCACATATTTTCGCGCACACTTACTTGAAGCAGAATCACTCTAACAAACCATGATTTCCAACTTGGTCGAATACGAGGGATGTGGGATTTGTGAATCGGTTGAGAGAGCTACTTATACATACGCCGTTGCCATGCAGTGAAATATTTTATAGGTTACAATAACTTTTTTGGTCGAACTATGCGTCAAAGATGATGACTCAGCAACGACTGACTTTTTCAGTCAGGCATTGTTGAGACTTCGAGATCGGCAGTCGTTGCGAGGACCTTCCGTCCTCGCAGACTACGGCCTACCAGCCCGGAATTTCTTTCAATTAATTCACTTAGTTCATAGTACATTCCTTGGTGAACACTTTATCATTTTTTCTAGGTTATGGTCCAATGAGTCCGCACCCAGGTTACGGTATGACTACAGTGGCGAGCGATTATTCGTCGAATCCATACACACCATACCCCACAGGCGGTTATTCATGTGCCAGCGGATATCCGGGAGCGGTGACAACAGGATATCCTGTGCCTCCCGGTGGATATTCTCCCAGCACTTGTTATTCGATGCCTCCACCTCAGCATTCCCTATCGCAGCACGATAAGTCGCCAAATAAAGACAGGTAGGTGTAGTTTCTCAGTAATATCTGAACTTTTCATCAATTTCTCTCGTTAAATGTAACTCGAGCCCAGTAAAACAACCTAAGGTAGCAAAGAGTTGAAAGAACTTTGAAGAGAAGAATTTGTTTTCAGGAATTTCCTGAAACTGAACTGAGAGAACGAACGGCGAAGGTTCTGCATTTTAACATTAGAGTAAAGTGTTGTATTCAATGGAGTGGTAGACCATTCTCAAAAGCCAGATTTCTATTTGCTTTCTCCTTCAAAGATGCTTATGCAATGATGTTATCTTTCTCAATTTGCTCTTCAATTTTTTGTGGCTTTAGCATTGGCCAGATTGTTAAATGTATTAATATCTGCTCCATATTTCCACAAGGTATCATGCGATTGTTGGTTTAGTCTCCTGAAAACTCATTAATACAGTTTATTCTATGATTTTCACTATAAAGGGTTTTACAAAAACCGCGACGCGTGTTTCGCTATACAATAAACTGTATCAATAAATTTTAATACGGATTTTCATCAAGTACGGCCAATTCTATTAAATTAGTGTCCTGAGTTAGCCATGGTATAATTTCTGAGGTTATGTGATCATTTAATATGCGTTTTGTGTACTCTCTGGAATCTTAAGAGACTTCGAGGACTGGACAGCGAAGGGCTCAGATACTACATGCATGTTTGGGTATAACTGATATGATTTTAAAAATCAGCAGGATGATCTGGTATGCGTGCGCCACAATCCACAATAAACCTACGTGAATAGATTGAAGGAAATATTTTTATGGACAAAACATAAGCACTACAGAAAAATCCTTAAAGCGCTATAAAAGCGGTGCCTGTGCGTAAGTAGCGATTCTCATTGGATTTGAATCGCTGGATGAGATTATATTCATTTGGAAAAACGTTCTCAGGAAGTTTATTCCATATACACGCAGTTTTCCAAATGGAAGAATGTTGATTCAATGAAGTTCGACGTGTACTGAGTGGAACCTCAAAAGATTAGCACTCTTGGTGGAATCAAATGTGCTAAGTTACTCGAACACTTCCTGTGAAAATATCTATAAAAGAGAGACAAATCTACAACTTTTCTTCGATGTTCCAGACTATCAAGGTTGCGCAAGTGTTGTTTGCGCTCCAATTAAGCAGGTGGCTCTTTTCTGGATGGAATCCAGCAGTTTCAGGGTATGTTTAGGGGCGAAGCTCCATACATGAGAACATTACTCCAAAGAAGGTCTAATCTAAATTTCGTAAAGCATCAAATGGTGCTGAGGAGTGTACAGTTTTCTGGTTCGGAACAGTATTCCAAGCTTTTGAGAAGCAGCCTTTGTAATTCCAGTGATATGATTATGCCACAAATAGCGTTTCTACTAAATTATTATTATTTCTTCAATTAGTTCTTCATTTGATTAAAATAGTTCTTATTAGTTTGAATATAAAGTAATAATTTCTTCATATCATTTTTATTTCATTTCTTTTATTACACTTTTTAGTACACGACCATATTATTCAAGCATTATTGAATTAATAAATTGAATAGGATCCAAAAATGAACATGATATGAAGCACTTTTTTCAATCTCCTCAATTAATATAACTAACTGCCAATCATCAATATGGGTCATTTTCAAAATGAAATTCAATTTCAAATCTCGAATAATATCGAGATACATCGACAACAAAATATTCAAGTATCATTATTATTGATTCGGTCTCGTTAATTTAACAAAACGAGGAATTTATCTCATTAGCGGACTTTATTTGTGCCACTCGGTATAACGCCAACGACACTGAACCCTGATAAACAATCCATTTTAGAATACCTGCGAGTCGGTGACGTCTTGATTGATAACGTGAAGAAAATCATTTACTCAGATTCAACACTTATTTAATAATGGTTATCTGCATATGTTTATCGAAATCCGCAATCTATCTTCAAGTCTAATTTACCAGTTTGTTCGGGAGGAATATGGATAAAAATATGTTCAGTAATTTTCTGTTCCGTTACCCTTAGGAGGTTCAAGTACATTTTGTACGAGACTCATATCATGGAAGAGATAAAAAGGTAACATATAAACATATTCTGAACAATTTCTGTGTGATATGATTGTAGTTTTTCTAATAAGTTAGGAGCAGTTTCAGTGCTTTTTTTTCATTACACTAGATTTCATACCTTTCCTATTTTTAACTTTTGTAAACTTTCAAGCATTGATTTTCTTCAAATAAGCAGTATTTAGTTAGGACTTTTACGGTGAATTGTTGGAATGTGTAGGTAATTCATGATTTGTAATCTTTATACATAATTTCTTGGCCCATTATTCTTGAATTTGCACTCGGAAGAAAGTTTTTTCTGTCTCTCTCTAATGACAACAATGGATTTTTAGGTTAGGAAGTACTTTTTCTACAGAGTGATCGAAATAATGATCGATATAAGGAGTTAGTGATATCAGAAAGAAATGTTTCACTTATATACAGTGTTAACGGTTATTTCGTAGTATGGATTTCATTGTAGTTATTCAATTAATTATTTCGTTTGTTCATATGTTCGTTTTTAAAACAATTTATATTTTATTCTCACGTTAGTATTTTATATTGTTACAAAATATTGAACTTCTCATTTCAGTTGCCCTGATCAAATTATTAAATTTGCCGAAAGTTTGACATATAACAGTGAGTTTTCTTTGTAACATCTCAATAGGTAATTGACTGCTACCACACGAAACACTGATTTATAATCAATTCAATCCAGACTATATTCGTACCTGAATAGGTTGACTTTCACAACTATCTGTAGAAATGTACTTATCACGTACTACAGTTTCTACTAATACAACCTAGGGGCGGTGACTGACTGATACTTACAAAAACGCGTGGTTTTTGATTTTTGTATCGGAACTAAGTAGTTGCTTTCTAATGACACCAGTACATTTGACCGGTTTTTTTATTCAATTACACATATTTTCGCCGACAAGAAACCTGTTATTAGGCAAATATAACCACAAAAATGTAGTTTCAGTTCTACCGTCTCCCGTTCTTCATGTACAAAATGCTATTGTCTCCATAAAAAGTCGTTTCCCGAATTCATCATGATTAAAAAGGTTTTCATTTCTTCTAAAACTAACATCTCAAGACAAAAACTATTTGGTTATCGGTACTAACACAAAGGCTTTCCTAACCTCACCCACTGATTTTTAAATGGCTTTCATCATTGCCATCTTTCGGCGACCTAGTTTCAGCGAGAGCCAAACCAAGGACAGTAAGGAGCTGATTCAGTGCCCAACCACTAGCTGTGATGGCACGGGACATATTTCTGGCATCTACGTCACCCATAGAAGGCAAGCAACATATCAACTTCTTTTGTTGACAGGACTGTGCTTATATGATGCTTCTATGTAGATTTCTCGAATGTAGCCTATAGTACGAACCTTGCGGTATAAATTTTAAAACAAACTGATTGTTGCGATATTATGTCGTATAAGCCTGGTTCTGTTATAATAATCGAAGCCAAGAGTCCGTGTCAGATTAAATTGGTATCTTCAAAAATATACTGAGTCAGGTCCTTCGGTCATGACAAAATTAATAGATATTGGCTAAATATTACATCAATGGATGGATTGAACGGTTCAACAATAAAAAATGAGTTGCCTTGTGATTTATTAACCGAGATATTCCAAATCACTGAACTTTTTTTCTATAAAACTGAACCAAAGAAACAGGTACAGGTTTCTTTTTTCTGAAGTTTCTACCCAGCGTATGTTGAGCAAAATTAATATATTTTACTAGCTCATGGTAATTTCGTGTGACATATTATGCTGAACAAATATCTCTAAAAATAAGATGCAGTGAACCTAAAAAGAAAGTGTTGATTTTTTGGTAACCATCAATAGTACTTAAATCTAAAATTGTCAACTTCACCACAATTTACTGGCTCTCTGTTTCTTTAAGTTTACATGATTCCCATGAATAGTCCTAAATATGGAGATATTTTGATCATAAAAGTAACTGAGATGCTGATTTGGCTGATTAGATATTTAATTGAAGATCATTTATCTCAATATGTTCTGATTCAAGTTTATCGGATCCAATTGCAATATTTTTATTTGTACGAGCTCTAGTTAACATTCATCATCCAATTCAAAGATACACTTGGAATCAATCTCCAAATTAAAAAATCTATTTTCTGGTTATGAACTTTCATTATTTCCTTCATAATGAAATCTTAACTGATTTGATTGTTATTATTGGCATCGATTTAATGGTCACTGTTATTTTTAATTTATATATTTGTTTTGTCATGTATATTTATTTATGTATGTTATCATATTGAAATGGAATTATTATATTCTTATTGGGATTCATTAAATTCGGATACATGAATATGTTTATGGAAAACTACTCTTAGGTATTCATGAAATACTGTCCACTTTGAGATATGTTAAATCAATTGCTAGAGTTAGTGGTTATGTTGGTCATATATTCTGAACTACATTTTTTTTCATTAATGAAATTGTTTCATGCCCTTTTTTTCAATTACAGTTTGTCTGGTTGCCCTAGAGCAGATCGTTCCCAAATTCAAGCACACTCACAAGAGTTGAAATGTCCAACACCAGGTTGCGATGGCTCTGGTCATGTAACTGGGAACTATTCATCTCATCGAAGTTTATCGGGCTGTCCTAGAGCCAACAAACCGAAAAGTAAACCCAGAGATGGTCAGGACTCTGAACCATTGAGGTGAGTCATCTAGAATTAATTCATTACGAAAGTTTTTACATGAAACGTAGTACTTTCAAATATTGAGCAACTTTGTAACAGGTTGAAGCAAAGCATTTTCATTATAATTTATCACTGTACTTCGTAAGAAATATACATGTAATTTCGAGACTATTTAGAACTGTTGATCAAAAGTCGATTTTTTCACGCTCTCAGATGCCCAATACCGGGTTGTGATGGATCTGGACATGCGACAGGAAAATTCCTATCGCACAGGAGGTAATCTAGTTGTTTCTGTAATATGTTGAAATTTTCCTTGGTTGTAGTTGTAATATAGTCTTCCAATTTATGAAACCAACAGAAATATATTTAAGAAGAAAAATTTTCTTTTTCTTTGACTTCTCAATGTTTTTGTTCTCTGCTGCATGACATATCCATAACTTGAAATTATTGGTTTTTCCACTTCAAAAATAGTTTTTGATATCTTGTCATATTTTTAATACCTATGTTGCTTACATTCATTCAATTACCAATCTCATCTTTGATTGAAGGAATATCAGAATATTTCATTTTTCCCTATTTACTGATACTCATGAAATAAATCAAACTCAATTCTTCAATTCACTCAATCAATTCACAATCAATCAAGTAATTTTTTATACAAATAAATCAAAAATATTTGTAGAATGAAAGTTGTGCAAAAATACAATTAGTAAATTTATAATTTTTGTTGTTGTCTTAGTATATAAAATAACAATTTAACATTGAGGAATCATACTAACATTCATATGAATGTAGATGTTCAGAATTGCTGTATTTTTTATTAAAGCTTTTGAGTGCTTCATCAAAAGAGGGTGGGTGCTATGCCACAAAATCAACTTAAGAAAATGAAGGTTTTATCAGAATAAGTAATAATAATAACTGTATTTACATTAATTAAAGTTAACTTTCTGACAAATAGGTGAAGTGTCAGCTGAAGCTGTTTTTCAAACCAAACATAACACTAAAATAAATCATCATACATTTTGAAAATAGATGTGAGAATATGACACTTTCCAGGAGTTAGTATTAGGGTCCACAGGTATCAGCACCATCCAGAACCATTAACTTGTGTGGCACAGCCCCTTTTCTTACTCAGGCACTCGATTTCTTCTGAAGAACTGATGTACAACAAAACTGTGTCAAATCTGAATCATATCTGTAAACACGATATGCAGTCAATGATTCAACTAGATCATCAAAATTGTGTACCCTTTCAGTGCTTCTGGCTGTCCAATTGCCAACCGAAACAAAATGCGAGTCCTGGAAAGCGGTGGTTCAGTAGAGCAGCACAAAGCGGCAGTAGCAGCAGCCACTGCTATGAAATTTGAGGGAGTCAACTGTCCAACCCCCGGATGTGATGGAACAGGCCATATTAACGGATCGTTTCTAACTCACAGGTCACTCAGTGGATGTCCAGTAGCTGGCCAAAGTATCAAAAAGTCTAAATATCCTGAAGACATGCCGTTTTATGCCAAGGGATATACAGGTTGGTTTACGTTTATTACAACTTGTCTCAAAATATTCTATGGGATATCATTCAGCAGAATTGTATTTCTGTAGCAAGTAATAGTCAATTCAACTGCTAGTTCTACTATATAAATTTCACAGAACTTCACGTATGTACTTGTCTTGAGCCTCTGCTCATTCAGTATTCCTTTTTGTCATTTTCAAATAGTGAATATCTGGCAATCATATCCTTCAATCCTGAAAGATATTGTATTCCAAAATCACTTCACAAGAGTTAAATATATTTGAGAACCAGTGAATTTGTGAAACTACTTCCCTACAGAATATTCTTTGGATATATTGAGAACATATATACAGAGTAGTTTTTCTCATTGAACTAAAGTTTATTTCTAGACATCTTCTTGCAGGTATAGAACAAGGTCCCAATAATGGTGAAGACCTCATGACTTTGGAAGCTGAAATTTCAGAACTTCAGAGGGAAAATGCCAGAGTGGAATCACAAATGATAAAATTGAAATCGGACATAAATGCCATGGAAAGCCATCTTGGACATGGTGAAAAGGTGAGTTTGTAATAATCATATAAAAACATTTCATGAGTTATTGCAATTGTGTAAGGTTTCAAGCAGTAGGTACACTATTAGAAATCTTTTAGCAAAATGATACAATTAGTTGAAGAACCAACTAGATTGATATACCTAAATGGTTAGTTTTTAATAAATAAGAACCATTTCGTGACCTAATCACACTGTGAATGATTGAACTGTTTTGAACTAGTGTAACACAATAGGCATTAATTTGAAGTAATGAAATGAGATTGTTCTTGACGAAAAAATTAAATATTGCAGTCTCCAAACTGCAATATCACTTCTGTACATTATGCACTTCACAACAAAGCAATGAGTATACCTAATTTCAAAATCAAATATTGTATTATAGCGTGCTAGTATTTATATGGGACAGTCCAAGACAACTAAAATACCCTTTTTCTTTTTGAACATTCTCACAATGATTAGTAGAACAAGATAAAATGCAATAAAACCAAATAGTTCTTCGTGAATTTTGGGGGTAATCTCAAAAACTCGTTCAGAGTGTAGACTTCTCAAAATGAAAAGTTATTAATGTAGGTAGGCAAGTTTTATCATATCATCACCAACAGTTATCAAGATATTGTGAAAATTATGTTCTGAAATCTTCAATATGTAAAAAAATTGGTTCTAAATTTCAATATCAAAAGTTGAATCTCCAAGAGATGTCTAATGATAAATGCAATAATGAATCCATTTTGTGGGTTTTATCTCAAATTATAACAAAAATATTGAATGGATCTCTATCAATATGGCAATGAAACCCCACTTGGGTTTTATTTGAAAAAGTAGTAACTGTATTAGGTTTTAACAGCAACAGATTTCTTCATAATTATCATACATTTTGAAAGAAAACTAGTGGTGATGTAGAATTTGTTTCAAAATTTCAATAACTACAGAAATGAACAGCTGATGAAGGATGGAGACCATAAAAATTGTGATTTTTATTCCTTCTAGTGGGAGATTCGACTCTCAAAATTGTACACAACTACTCGAAATTTTAGAGTGTATACCTCTTTTGTTGCTCCCATAGTTCTGATTCAACAGGGGTTTCCTCCATTGTCAATTTCTTAAATTCTCGGAAAATATACAAATATCTGTTAAATGAAGAGATATGCTCAAGCTGCTGAATTCCCTGAAATTAACAAAGGTAGTCATATTTAGAAGTGATAGATGTTTTCTTTTTATTTCACCGCATTTATCAGCTTAATGTTAGTTATACTGCCAAGGAACCCACTAAAATGAGTAGAGGACTACCAATCGATTAAGACTGTTTGAGCCAATAACATATAGATGGCGATGCTAACTCCAATAAGTTCATACTATAGATGTGTTCGTTTGTACAGAACTCCGTTATATCTAGTCTATTCTGTGTTCGATATTTACGAGAGCGAAGAAAAACAAGTGATGGGTTGGATACGAGATCAATAATGGGGTCAGACAGATTTTTTAATTGTCACTTGTCATATTAAAAAAAGAATATTTAATTTTAAGTATTTTTGCATTATGTACTTTTCCTATATGATCAGGATAATATGAACAAGGCTACACCTCACAAAAAAAATATTACCTATAATAAATCTGCGTTTTTCTTTTTTACTATTCTCATGACAAACACAACTCATAAATTAGAAGTAATCCTGAATTTTCAAATTTAGTTTCTTGTCACAAGATCATGACAAATATACCTATACCTAGCTTCAATTTCTCAACAAAGGTTCTTGCAGCTTATGACACGTGGTGAACATTTGACGTTTTGATTTTTTTATCCAATTACTTTATTTAATCTCAAAAACTTGTCTTTTCAGAAGAAATATAGATCGATTCTGACATCTCTTTGAACATCAGATGTTGATGTTCACTTTTTATGGTCGCCATTTTCTTAAAAATTTTAGCGCCAAACCATTCGATTTTTCACCATTTTTGAACTATAAAAAATCTAGTATTTTGATATATTAAACTGTAAGAGTTTTCGTAGTAAATATATTGAACAATTTTGATTCGAATTGAATTCAAATTACGACTCAAGACAAAGGCAAAAAGTCGCAAGGAGGTCTATCCTTGAGTTATATAAAACTTCCTTGAAACAACGAAACAGTCAGTCATAACTCAGTTAATTGGTTTACAGATTTTTAATTCAATTCCGTATCTTTGTTGTTCAAACGAATTACATTACATTAAAAAATAAAATTCATGCATCAATGTTGCCACTTTGAATATTGAGAATTAATGACCTAACTTCCCATGATATATGTATGACTCGCGACTCGTGCGAATTTACCTTTAGATAACTCGACGTAAACCATGCATCGATCGTATCGTCTACGTCTAGCGACAACATCCAACTGGAGCAGATATACGTTGATGAGCAGTTGATCTATTTCAATTATATATTATTTTGAATACTTCAGATGACAAGCAAGGATGTAATGAAAACAAAAGGTTATTTATTTTTAACTGTTTGATCGTCTAACAGTATTTTCAATGAAGTCGTACATATCCCGACAATAAATAGAGTGGAGAATTGTAAAAATTTAAGAATTGTATCAAATATGCATCTTAATTGGCAATGGTGTGGTCTCTAGACTCTTTTATGTACGTCAACAAGAGTGTCACTACATGGGGAGTTACTGGTAGATAGAGTTGGTTGCCAACTCATGAATACATAATACACATAAATGTGATAGTAATCATGTACAGAACATTAAAAATATTCATGAAGTCCTTTTATTTATGATATAAGTTGAACATGAACAATAAACAATTATTAAATATTATTCAGTCCTAATTAAGAAAAATGGTGTTCAATTAGTTCAGTCTATTTAAAAGCTGTTTCTCATCAGATTCACTTCTCTTATATATTCAAAGAAAATTTCGACACTAAAAATAATGATATATTAATTTCAAAACAGAACTTTATATATCATTTCACTAGCAAAAAAATACCTAACAATAGGTTTCATATCAGTCACAGCTGCCTTTTCGTAAAAAACCAATAGGACTACGTCACTAAAACTCTTCCTTCTCCCCTCAACGCAGGAAACGCAAGCCCTCAGCCAACGAACCACCAACCTGAACGAGTACTACGAAAGCCTTCGCAACAACGTCATCACCCTCCTGGAGCACGTACGACTGCCGGGAGGCGGGGTAATGACTCAAGAGAAAATCGGCCAAGACAACTTCGATTCCTACTTGAGTAAATTGCAAACGCTTTGCACGCCTGAAGGGTACTGCAGTGACGAGAACAGACCATTGTATGAAACTGTGAAGTGTGCATTGCAGGATTTTACTGTGTTGCCAACGCCTATATAAAATTGAAATTTCTTGAAAGGTTCTTGGGGCTTCTTGTAGTTGTAGATTGAAGTAAAAACTGTCCAAAAGTTTCAAAGTGACATCAATATAAATTTCTTCAATGGAAGGCCATGGATCAAATATTGATAATGATTTTGATCCCTATCGAATTTCATGTTAGGGGCTCTTCGAGTTGAAAATTACTGTATGTTTTACGTTTTTTTTTTACTAAAAATGAAGCAATACTTGAAAGTTACTACTGGACAAAATAATTATACGAGGGTATTTGCAATTTTAACAAATATTATGTATTAAGAGAAACTTAACTTGGATCACTGATAAGTCACTGAAACTTATTAATATCATCATTTTTTAAAACTACTATGAGTGGTTTCAAAGGTTTGTTATTCTTGATTGATTCATTACTGTGAAATGAATGATTTAATATTTGAATAAACATCTTTTTTTTTTCTCCCAAAACAGATGTACCCAAAGTGTTTATAAAAAATCAAATCGATTTTTTGAATAACGTATACAATGAAAGTCGGCAGTTTGTGACCTCCTTCTATCAATGAACACTCTCCTGTAGTAATTCACTATAGATTTCTGAAAAAAATAATTTTTGAGAAAAAACTCAACCTAAAGAGCTTTTCAGAGTTGAACGATATTTTATTATTTTCATTTCATTTACAATAGTTACTAGAGTTGACACATTTAAAAAAATTGTCTTGAAGAACCCTTCCACCACTTGAAATTCAAACTATTTCAGTGGATCTGGTTGAAATCTAAACAACCATCAATATGAAATCCACTGACCTTCAACATAAGCAAGAAATTTTCTGTGTATCCACGATACTGAATGTTTTTCCTACTCTGGAGCCATACGTAATATTAAATTGTGATTTTGTAAATAATTACCCAAAGACAAAGGGATATGAGCTGTATAGATATCTCTGGCTAAAAATGAAAAATGCAATGTATTATATACCTACTATTGAAAAATGATTGTAAATAGCTCGTTTTTATTTGTATCTATGTACAAAGTTCGTTTTAGTTAAGTATTTATATCTTCTTGACCATAATGGTTATAAATATTGGTTCTTTCTTCAATTGAACACACTGAACATTTCAATTCATTCATAACCAATTAAAGAAAGAAACTTTAGTATTGATGACATTTCAGCGATACGTTTAGTAAAATTTGTTTCACTGTTGTTTTTGTTAAATTATCTGTAAAAAGGTTATAGATATTTATCTTCTTTTAGAGAACTATTTTAATAAAATCGCTCATAAACATGGAAACTTCAAGTATTAGTATAATTTTTTTAGATACTCTGTGATTATGTATACCTAGTCTCTATATAGGTAGAAAAACTAGTGTTACTTGTAAGCATTCATCGTAAATGCTCAAAGTGATTTTTTTTAGTGGGGAGAACCCCTACAGTTATTTTCTGTCGAGCATTCAGCATCCCCTTGAAAACGTGCAATGAGGTGTGTATATGATAATAAAATTCACACAGTGTTCTGGAAAGTCTGTTCTGTTGTTATTTATGAATTATTTCATTTTTAGTTAAACTTAAACTCCAACCGAAAATGGTGTTTTACTGTGCTGTTTACCCAAAAGATATTGTTGTGTAATGTGTAAATATATGAATGATATATTCGAATTCTCATTATTCAATTATTTGTTCTCACCAAATATATATGTTAATATACATGTGTTGTTATCAAATAAAGTATTTGAAAGGCCTCTGATGGTATTTTTTTCATTCCTAAAAATTTTTTCAACGTTTCAGGTTTCACAGAATAAAGTTCGGCTCAAAAAACCTAATGATATGACAAAGCAGCTACAAGCAATTCACAAATCAATATTATATATGTGTACAAAAAATAATTCCGGTTCTCAGAATATAACAATTTGTGAAGAATTTTGCAGCAGTATTCAGAACACTCATCCGTAATGAATTGTTACAAGTGGATCAACATTATTTTATGAACATCATCTGAATACTGTGGTAGATCGTTCACATATGAAAGGAACAGCGAAGGATCAATAACTGAACAATGTGGTACCCTAAAAGTTTCACATCTTGAGTGTGTGAGAGAACTATGGTTCTATTTGTCATAAATGATTTCAAACAATTTCTCATATTGGCAGTTTATCGGTCAACTGACCTCAAAAACTTTTGTAACTCAGGTGAATACATTAGTCTTTCTCTATGACTTTTGAGAAAACATCAATAATGTGACAGTTTCCTGTTGAATTAGTAATCAAAATGATTCATAACTCACACCTTTGAACCAATCACATTCGATCAAATTTATAGCTCACTACCCTGAGGCCAATCACAGATTGAGCAAATGCATAACTTGAGAAGCCTTAAGAATTCATCTACTTCAAAATTGTTTTCAAACGTCAAACTTGATCAGTGTACTAACAATTCTCGTTTTGAAAAATATAGTTTTTTTGGATTCGGAAAGTGAAAACGACTGTACCACTCCTGAAATTACTAATGTGGCAGACAGCAGGTCTGTTACCAAATAAATCAAGCAAAAAATATGGATTTTCATATAGGTGCCGTTTTCATCAATTAGCGAAAGAACAAGAATGTAAATTCATTGTTGGGAAATGTATTTCTAGCATATTTTTCCGAATTAGCTGAAAAATATATATCATCTACGCTTTGGACTCAATATTCAATGTTAATAAGTACAGTACTCATCAACCATGACGTTAATATAGAACGTTACCTACTGAAATTTAGGTGCGTTTTGAAACGTAAATCCAGTGGTTATCTACCGAAAAAGGTGAAATATAAACATTTACAGACGAAGCACCAGACAAAATCCATCTTGTGACAAAGATAAGAAATTGATATTTTTCAAAAGTTTGTAATAAAATAAAAGTACTTAGAAACTTAAATAGCTTCATTTCATCATAATTTGTGAGGTAGTTGACGTGAACTTGAAGTTAGGTCAAGTCGAGTAATGGATACATTTCTCGCTAGTTGAATAATATTATATTTTTTGTGTAATAAAGCGTGAGGGTTATAGCTCACTTTAAATTTTGAAATGAACTGTAATTAGGTATGTGTACTTCATGTGCGTTGAAAATTTAACGCTTACGCTCTCAAATTTGGATAAATGGAGAGTTAACTTCTACCTGGCAATTCATTATCAGCTAGAATTTATATAAGTTGTTAAGAATTTTGTTGGTAATATAATGATGAATGTTTTGAATTATTATGCTATGGAAAATTGTCCAATTTAAGTGGTATACTACAGTTCAACCCGTGAAGGGCGGCACTGATGTCTAAGGACTTCATGCCGTCATCTATCAGTTGTGTACCCATTGGCCCCTCTCAAGGCCAATAATCAGCCAGAAGGGTAGGGGAGCTGGTCTCCAAACCTGGACGAAATCAGGATGACTCGTCACTACAGTTTTATACTTCAGTTATTCACGTTATTTGGCACATAGATACCTAAAACATAACGTTGAAGAACGGAAAAACACAAAAAATATCGAAGGACAAAATTTATTCGATAAAAAAGTTCCGTTTGAGAAACAAAATATGTACTACCTACACTTCAACCTCAGAAGCAATCAATGTGTGGGCTCTGTTGCGAAATTATATTGTTCACCACTTTTGTCGATTATCAGAAAAGATGACAATCTCACAAGAACTGAATTGATATTTCATATGGAATAATGCTGCTCCTGTTAGGTTATTCTTGAATGAAGACTATCTTGGATAGCGAATTGACCGGAGAGGTATTGCAGAATTGATCACCCTGTTATATACCGTTGAACTTTTTCAAAACACTTGAAAACCAGTTTATTTCTCGATAATGTATCTATATCAAAATGAAAACAAGGTCATACAGCGAATTCCAGCACCTTATAATCAAAGTATCGATGCCATTTTTTTGAGAAAATATGACATGGCTCCAGATGAAAGATTGATGGAGTGAAGAAGCATAACATAGCTTCATTGACATAAACTCAGACATGTATCGAGGTTTTTGCTAAATATAACTATTCACCTTTTATGAATTTGTATAATGGGTTGTCTATTACAGCTATTCCCAGTCGTCATAAACATCACCATTTTAGAAATGCACAGAGAAACTGCCACTGCCACCTCCAGTTGAAAATAAAATTAACATTCGGTTTGGACCGTTAAATAATACTTGTATTAGTGTTACTCAGGCAATGGAAAAAACTTGGTTCTGTTGTGCGGATTCAAATATCATTATTTTTTATGTAACCATAAAACACTAACCATTATCAATATCTTTTTCTCACTAATCTACCATAAATTAGGTTTCCTATATATTCCTAACTATCTACAGAAACAAATGAGAATTCGTTTCTCTAGGACTTTGCAAATCAACTTACAAACTACTTTTCCGGAGTCTTTTTGAGGATTACTATATAAAAATTGAAGAACTATATTTAGGATGAGCACATTATTGAATCCCTTTTTACTTCAAAGAATAATCCTATAGTCATAGACAAACAGTAACATTTTCACCACGAATGTAGGGGAAATTATTCACTAACACTACAAACGCGAAAGAAATAAGATATTGGATCATGATATACATTCAACAATTCATTGGAACGAATAATTTTCATCCAAGATGTCACGGATTTTACTTTACTTTAGATACCCCCTCGACCTAATTTGGTTCTATTCTCAGAGTAACAAATGTCTTTTGTTACTCTGAGGTTCTATATCATGATCCGCTATAGACCATATTAGTTAGGTTAGGATTTTTCGAGCACGAAATTCAAACTCAGGTCCATCACGAAAACCTGTCATTAATTTCCCATGTAAATCTTATGAGACTAAAAATTCTTCGAATTTGTCGCCTTTTTTCAGGTATTCCATCTTATTCCTTAGAACTGATTTTACATAAAAAAGNTAATTCTTAATAATTTTAATAATTATCTCAGGTAACTGAATTGAATAGATGAACGTTGATTAGGTTTTAGGTTAGTAGTGGAGTGGGAGCGGAATTTGTTGACATCTGTTGACGATCTACGACAATAGAAAATTTCTTGAACATCACTAGTTTCATTTCAATATAAAAAAATTATAAAAGGGAATTTCAATGATGTTCTGACATTGATACATTTATAAATCATGAAGGTATCTAGCTCAAGATGTTTAAGAGCTAACATTCATTATGTACTTGTGTAGTTTCATATTGAATTCAAACCTCCATAAGGTCTCCATGTAAAATTTTTTGAAGTTGGACCTCGCGCCAAAAGTGAATCCTAAACTAACTAATATGGTCTATATACAAACTATAGCTTTAGCCAATGTTTGTTGCGTATAAAAAAATAAGAAGAAGAAAACGTATTTGTGGTTGAGGTTGTGTTTTTTAATTGGAATTTTACAGAAAGTTCTTGTTGATTTTGGGCAAATATTTTAAAAATGAATAAAATATTCTCTAGAACCCTCAGAAAGCTTTGCCAAACGAATTCACAGTATAATACGCACCAATCGGCCAGTACATTCAAAGCAGCCATTATTAAAGAATCTGGAAAACCTTTAGAAATTGAAGAACGCAAAGTAGTGAGCCTCAAGCCAAATCAAGTACGAGTACAGGTGGTTTACTGTAGTGTCAATTCGGTGGATTGCCATAAATTCAGACAAGGTGGTGGAGAGTTTCCCTTCATACCAGGCTATGAGCTCTCTGGGGAGGTTATCGAGAAAGGCAGAGATGTTTCAAATGAAGACATAATCCTTGGCGATAGAGTTGCTGGGCTGAGTCTTGAAAATTTTGGAGGGATTGCTGAACAGTGTGTGGTATGCATGGTTACCAACTAACTATAGATAATTTAAGAATTGCCATTACTGTTTTCTATGCACTTTAGGCAGTGTGCTACTCAAAACTCCAATAGGAGACTTCATGTTAATTATATAACACTAACAGACTATTTTCAAATGATACAAATTCCGCCAGATTTCATCAGCAACGGAAGGGTAAACAAATAACTTGAAATGTATAAGGTAGGTAGACCATAACTGAAGGAGGGTTTATAAAAAGAGTAAGATAAAATAGGAAAAATATAGTGTTTTTTTGTATATTTGTCATATTATTCTGAACTTGGTACTGATGCATAAGACATTATAAACTGTCTCTGTTTCTTTGTTCTATTGGCTGCAGCCAACGTCTCTTTATATACCCTTATTTTTTTCAAGTGATCTCTGAACTGGAAAGTGTCTGCTGTATAGACTTGTAATCATTGTGAACCAATTCTTGCATATTAAAAAAGTTAATTGTTTTTTCCCATATTTTCTGGCCTGATTCTCTTCTGAATTCTATTTCATTAATTATGAAACTCTCACAATGTTATGCATTTTCTGTGATTCTGTAGCCTCCTGGTACTCACTACAGAATCCCAGACCAGGATGATTAAAACCCCAAGTGTGATCTGGCTATCTGCATAAACTCATCTTGGTACTGCCTTTGAATGTGCTTAGGCCTCCTTTTAAAATCGTCGCATCTAAGCAATTTTTATTGTATCAGATAATGCAGCCCTGCTTGTTTCAGTTAGATGTTGATGATGTCTGGAGAATTCCAAGTGACCTGGAAAGGAAGGATGCAGCTGTCATAGCATATGGCCACTCTACTGCTGTATATGCCTTTTCAAAGTTAGCTTCTGTCAAAGAGAATGAAAGGATTATAATATCTGCTGGACCTGCAGGTTTGGGATTGGCAGCTGTAGATGTTGCTGCAAATGTTTATGCAGCTAAGGTAAATATTTTTTTTTATTGGATCATTTTCACATATATCAACTTTAAGGTTATAGGCCTTGTTGACACTGAGGAGCGAGGTGAGCTGGTTCGAGAAAAAGGTGCCTTCGAAACACTTCATTTCAGTGAAAAGTTAACTAAGCAGTGCATGAAAATAACAGAGAATAAAGGAGCAAGTATTGTTTATGATGCAGTAGGGGATTATATGATGGAAACCATTGGGAGTTGGTAAGGACCAATAATCAATACAAAATTCGAAAGTTCAATGCTTAAGAGTTTGAAAATATATGTATGAGGTTATTCTGCAGTTCTGCAGGAAATATTTTTTGATGCAGTAGGGGATTATATGATGGAAACCATTGGGAGTTGGTAAGGACCAATAATCAATACAAAATTCGAATGTTCAATGCTTAAGAGTTTGAAAATATATGTATGAGGTTATTCTGCAGTTCTGCAGGAAATATTTTTTAGGAGATTTCAATTATTATATGGAAAATGTATATCATGAAGTTTCTTTCAGATACAAACTGGAAGGAAAAATTAATCCAAAATAACTATTTTCAAACATATGAACATTGGATTACAGATTCGTAATTACAGGAATGCTACACAATGTACTATATAAAAAAGTATCAATATAAAGTTTAGCTTCACGGAACTATCAAACTCGTGGTGAAATGAGCGCCTCGCCTTTTGAAATTGTTTAAATCAATACGTTTCCATAAATTGGGTTGTAGTGTTCCTATTTCAATTCCATTGTGAATGTTTGGAGTACTAACTGAAAGAGAAAAAGTTATTTTTCTGCAATTCATTGATAACATGTTTGAAACTAGTTGTTTTGGGTGTACTTTTTCTTTCAGTTTGTATCTGTAATAAACTGCTTTGTCATGAAATTATTTTGGTCAATTACTTGCTATCTTTGAAAGTTCCACACATTTTTTGATAAAAAATGGACAAGTAGACAACCAAAAATGTTTTTCCAGTTTTTCCAAAAGTATTATTTTTTTTATTTAAATGAATTGTTTACTTTTGAATCAACCATAAAATAGGCCTCATTATTTTTTTCAGTGTTTCAGTAGGTGGAAAAATCTTTCACGCAGCACCATTCTTCTATAAAACTGTTCCAGCACCTAAACCACACTCATTTCTGTCTATTGTCAGTTTGAAGGAATTGAGAAGGCAGAATAAACACCTTTATAAAACGGTAGTAGATGATACTCTAGAACTTGCCAATGAAGGAGTCATCAGTGCACACATAAGTGCTAGGTTCAGCTTAGGTGAAATCAATGAAGCTATTAAATTCATTGAAGAAAAAAAATGCACAGGAAAAGTTCTAATTCACGTGGATGGATAGGTTATAAGTAAAAAAGTGTGATGTATGAAACTGCTATAACAAAAAAAGGATTTTTAATTTATGTATATGCTTTTTATGGAAAATAAAATACTTTTTACTGAATATATATATTCATTGTCTCGAATAAAAAATAAATGATATCACAAACATAGTTCACAAGTACAAAATCGAAGTTACAGGTATGAAATATAAAGTGGATGAAATTATATTATAAAAACATTGGCATAATAGATGGTGACTGAATAAAATCACATTTTTAAAATTATAACTAGTCATCATATAAGGATACAAATGAAATAAGCCACTTTGATTTTTCTAAAATATTGCAACTTAGATATTTTTGTGAAGACTCTCATACTGGAGATTCCATCCATAATACCTCAATTTCATATAACGAAAAAAAATCTGTTTTCAGTACATAGACTATCTCAATCTACCTTACAATCAGGATTTGAATGGTTTATAAGATTATTCCATTCAAATATTTTGGAAACTTTTTTCAATTTCTGATTTGAAAATCAGTGGGATTGACAAATTCTTTAAATTTGTACTTTCATAATAAATATATCTACTTAAATCACAATGGATAACAAATATTTCTAAAAATGTTTATCCTCAAATCTATTATATTTACATCCTCAAACACACCACCTATTCCTCCTTTCTTGAAGAAACATTTATTACTATTTCAGATTTTTCACTAGTTATTCATCACTAGCTCTTGGAATATTTGTTTGAAGTTGAACATGAGTCTGTGAAAATTCCTTTTCCCCTATTAGAAATATCTGCATAGTCTTTTTTTCCTTTGGAACACAGTTTGCTGGAGAATTGGGCATCTCTTTTCCTGTTGAAAGAATATAATGTGTAAGATGAAATACAAAGGCATGGGCCAAAATGACTTGACATAAATTGAAAGGGGTATATTTTAAGGAGAGAAAAATTTTTGGGAAAGGTTTTGAATTTCTACTTCTTCATTTTTATACAAAAAAATGTGGAAATCTTCCAAAGAAAAGAAGAAAAAACCCTCTCGAAACAACTACTTTCATATAAACATACATAATAAAAAATATTCTCGAAACAGCTACTTCTATATGAACAATGAATTATAAAAAAACACTTTTTCCTATTCAGTTTGAACTACAAACATTAGTTTACATTCGTAAAAAAGTTATTTTGAAATTAATTGTCTTTTTCCTTTCTTTGGATGATTTCCTTTTTTTAGTAGATAGCCAAAACTTTTGGCACCTTGTACTGAATAGTACTAGTATTTTTATGAGTTATTTCGTAGTAGATAAGAATATTAGTTTTCACTCTACGAGGAGGGGTTTAGGATTTTTTCATGAATTACAAAAACTTTGAGGAACTGTTCTAATTGTATATGCAGACAGTCATAGGAAAATGTGAAATTTTCATATTTTTTCAAGGTCCATAATCATTAATGAATAAATTTTTGGTCTGGAAACTCTCCATTTCTATAAAACGAGTAAAAATCTTAAAGAAAAGAAAGAATTATTAACTTTTTTTGGATATGAAAAGACCATATGAAAACACTTTAATTTTCCTGTTGAAGGAAAGATGCTTTGCTATAAAAACTTCAGTCAGTTTTTGTAACGAAACCTGAACTACAGTTTTGGATGTTTTCAATTCCTCAACAGCAATGTAACGAATGGGTTGGATGCAGGGCCGTAGTGAAAAGAAAAACCAGGGGGGGGAGGTAATCCAAATTTTCCCAACCCCACCAGCAAAATTTTCCAACTTTCGAAAAAATGAAAGCCGAAGGATTAGTTACTAAGTACTATAATATATTATTATTGTCTTACTTATAGCTATCCAAAGATTGGCTAAATGCTTATGCCCATTAGGGTATGCACAAACAAAAATAAATTTTGGTAATTATAAAAATAATAATGGGAATTATTCTACTTTGGATCAAGGTTCTTGGTCTTCCACCATATCCACTATGTATAGGAATATTCAATACAAATGAAAGGAAACAACACTTAAATAATATCGTGTTTATTGTTTTCAACTATTTTTTTTTCTATCTTCCGGCCCGAAATTTCCCAACTTTTCCAAATCGAAAAAACAGCAAAAAGTTGGGAATTTTGTAAGACTGTCACTTAAAAATTTGTGGACTGTTCAGGACTGTTATCTTACTTGGGAGAAACTAAGCTTTTTTGAAGTTTTCAATCTTCACGGTCCAAAATTTCCCAACTTTTTCCCAAATCGAAAAAACGGGGGGGGGGCCTCTTCCCATCCTACCATGGCGACGGCTTTTGTTAGATGCCTTCATCTATCTTCATATATTTCTCAATAGTTGAAATTGTAAAAACAATATCTACATATCTACTACCGTATAACCATCAGTCAAATGCATCTGACATGGCAGAAAACATTGACAATGTTCAGTTATCTAGAGAGTTATCCAAGATGACAATGAAATTTAATGTATCGGTCACAGGTCAACATTTTTTTTCTAATTTTTCCAAACTTCTCAGTTAAAGAGCATAATCTTTTTTTGAATTTTCTGTCCTTTGATGTTGAAGAATATAACCGGTTGAACCGGCAATTAATAGTTGAATATCTACGTTTTACAATTGTAAGCAGTAATTCATAATAGTTCAGTATGATTCAACTAGTATTATTGAAATCTCTCCGGACAGTTGTCAATTTTGAGGAAAACATTTTGATGATTAACTAAATGATTGGCTTTGGAAGAGAGTTTAACAGATGCAAATGTTATTTAATCGGGGTTGGAAAATATTCCTCTACCATTGAAGAAATTCATCGTACCTAATTTGTGACAGAAACATTATTAGCATTTTTAAAATCAAGGTGAATTGAGCAAATATAGATAACAAAAACTGAAACAACCATATTTGCCGTCATGTTTTGAGTTCATTTGCCGCTTTTTTCTTCTCGCCTCATTACCACAAGTATCGGAGGAAATGTAGTAAGTGCCTTTAGTAATCATTGGAGTTGAGAATTACGGAACATCTAACAATTCACCCAAAACTTTTCAAAACCTATTTATAAATCAGGTAATTCAGTTGTATCTAGAATTCCAAGATGATATACCTTATTCACTATTATTTGTTCTGTAGGAAACCAATTTACAAATAGAATTCCATGGAATTCGAAAAAAAAAACACCATGGCTTTGAATTTTGATTTGGACATTCGAGTTCTTTCATTGCATTGATTGGAACTTAGTTTCCTATATATAATAAAATATTTCCTACAGTTTAGCATATTTCTTGATGTTTTTCAAGATGTCAGAACAAATTTCCATTCATGAGTCCTATTATTGTTCAGGTATGAGCATTTTTGACACCATTTTGGGGCACACTTTCCTCACATTGAAATAGTTTCTCGATATTTTCATCTGTTTTCAAAGTTGAACGACGTCCTGGGAGTGAATCATCTTCGATGTTTTCTCACCCAGTGTACATGACATAGGTATTGATCCTTATATACTTGTGAGAGAGAATAGGTCTTTCTTGCGGATTTACCGGTATTCTTTAAAAGGAATCACGTTGACACTTTAATCAATTAACACGCCTACAGTTTTTCCGACGAGCTGCAGATACCCGGTACAACAAAAATAAAAGCTGTTGCCCAAGTAAGCAAGCTAGTTACACCCAACCGGCTGGAATGTAACGGGGGATACCTGGCAACTAGGCAATATGACGTTTCATTTTGAGGCTCGCACCGTTTGTCTCACAGAAAACCAGCCCCGTTATTTTCTAGCCACATTTCATACTGTGATTTTTGTACTTTTAAGTTGAATTACACTGCTTATTGTTACATAAATAAACTCACCCTCGCCCTGGCATCTCCATTTCTTCCACCAATACGTTTTTCACATAGAGGTGGTCATTGCACCAGAACAAGCACAAAGTTCTGGGTTCTAAAACATTCATATCATATTCCCAGTTGAGCTCTACTTTTCTCACATTCCCTCCTAGATCTATAGGATGAGACACTATTGTGGTATAGGTAGCGCCATGTTCCAACTTCATATCACCAGATGGGGTTAGGTCCATGTGGATTACCCCAGAGGGGCTGTAGACGGAAGCTTTCAGATGACCCTGGACCCAATTCTCGGCAAATGAGGGGTGTGCTGTTTCAACGCTTACTCGATAAATGCGGTCTGAAAGAAAAGAGAAATGAACATATTTCGAAGGATTTGCAGAATAGGTGAAATTTGAAGTGGAGAATTTCTGATTATCATGTCAAGCAATTTATATGATAGTGAGGTGCAGTGCACCAGATATTTTAAAAGATTTTGAACTACCCAGCCATTTGATGAAACTACAATCTTTATAAGTAAGGTGTCCAGATAAAATCTAGTGGCCGTTGAGGAAAATATATTCACAAAGTTTGGTAAATCATCTGAAAACATTTTCCTAAGTTACATCAAATGAATCTGAATAGAAGTATCATGTTTATAATTCTGAGTGAAAATACTTCATTAGAATACACTAGATTATACCTACATGAATGATTACATTAAGATACCTTGAAATATCAACATAACCAATAACATGATTAAACATTTTGAATTCATGTGGAAGGTCACTAAACATTTGGCAAACAAATGAAGTATAACGAATTAAAGAATTAACTGTCTTAAACAAATTTATTTTAACAATACTTCACTATCACAACAAATTTATTTACACCACTCAGGAACTAACGCTTAATTTATCTTCACCGTTTGTTAACCGCTCGAATCGCTTTCTTGGTACAGACAGACTACTCTTCGGGACGAAGATCGACGTTTTTATATTGTCAACGAACGTTCCGGATCCCTCTGCGGATTTCGGGACCCATCCGGAGTTTTCGCGGTATGCGTCATGCGTTGGCTGACTGGGAACCGGTCAGGGCCGGCTTCAGATTCATTACAGAAGTATAATTTTGTAGAATTGTCAAGAATAATAGATGTTCAGTAGTATTATTGTAAGTAAGTAGTTGTATTGTTTGAGAGAAACATATTTCGTTATTCACAAACTTTTTTCGGTGTGAGAAAATGAAACTGAAATCTTTAATAATCTGAAATTTCATAAAAACTTCGTTGGACTGCTGGTCGTACTGATTATAATTATTGTTTGTCATCGGTCTCTATGAATGATTCTTTGTTTAGTTCTGGCTTTTGAAATCTTCAGTATTCACTAAAAAAGTCGCAATATTAGAAGACGTGCCTTTTTTCTACATGGGAGCCATTGGCTTTGTTCACTTTTTCCAAGTCTCTGAAAAACACTGCATCCCCGAGGGTTTATTGCATTTTTTCTCTCATATCTTTGTGATACCCGTCCCAACAATATCGTTTCCTGTAATGGAAAAGATACTTTGTTGGATATTCGCCAAATCCTTTTGAACATAATATGGGTTGTCCATACCATACATTGCTTGCTTCCTTTGATCCAGTGCCTCTCATTCGAATAAAACATGGCGAGGTGCCTTTATCCCTTTGCTACATTGCCTGCAGTTAAGATCAACCCCATTTTGTTCAGGTATTCTCTAAATGGGCAAATAGATTACACTTTGTGTACTCGGAATATAACCCCTCTATGCATAATAACGATGAAGTAGTTTGAATCCTGAAATTTAGATTACAAAAACAATTTTTTACAATATCTATTGTTTTATATTTTTTTATATAACCATATATCTCCTGTATACCAAACTCAATTGATCGAAATGCATATAATCTCATAATCTTAAAACGTTTGCTTTCAAACAAATGCTTTCGTTTAAAATAATTTCAAGACAAAATTCCTTGAATTAGGTACCGAGATTTTATCAAATTATTATGGTCAAGTTATTTGCCGAGAAAAAAGTAACAATAATGGATTTGCAAGCATACATATAAATATAACTGGAGTTTAATCCCAACACTAAACCGTTACTTTTAACACCTCGACACGTGTTTCAATCACCAAGTGATCATCTTCAAGAGGAGGATTAAACAGTTCAATCTCAGTTTAATCTGTGTTGGTGTTGGTGATTGAAACACGTGTCGAGGTGTTAAAATAACGGTTTGGTGTTGGGATCAAACTCCAGTAATATTCATTACTACACCAAAGGTTTCAAACAGCATACATATATACAATTCTCGACCACATTCGGATAATTAACAGATTGAAAGAATAACTGCAACAGTTTTTCACTTCATTCATTATCATATCTCGTATTGCACAGTTCAAAATCTCCACAAAAAGTGTCAAACTAGCATTACCGGATTGGAACCAGAAACCAATAGACATAGAATGTTTTATTTCCATTCAACTCAACTTTCATCAGCTATAATACAGAGTGAACAAACGAAAATATACTGCAATGTAATCTACCAGAGAAAGAGCTTAAAACAATATTTATGAGTTTTCTGGATTGCTGCGGAAAATTTTTTCTCGGTCCACCCTGTATAGCCAACGTCCTTAGACTTCTCACTTAATAAAATTCATGATTGACAATTCATTATGGAATAACTAACACTTACGGCAAAAAGGATATTCCTTCCCAGTGGTTAAATAATATTTGTTTCCAATTGTTTCTTGTAGCTTTGATTGCGGTTGCAATTCGTTTTCCAACAATCCGGGAGTTGAATCTGCATGATATCCCATAATGGCACACCCTGTACCTGGCTTGCAGGTGAAACATCTTCCTTCTTTGAATTGGTTATAACTGGAACAGGTGTGCCCTAATAACAATTAGGTATGATTAATGAAAATTGAGGTTTCTTCTGTTGAGAATTGAGCGAAACAAATTTTGAGTCAGAGTTTCTTTTACATGGTACTTGGTGGTTCCTTGATTGAGCGAAACAAATTTTGAGTCAGAGTTTCTTTTACATGGTACTTGGTGGTTCCTTGAGAAAGCGAAAGGTCGCAAATTTTCATTATTTGCCTGAACAACTTTTATTCAAAAGTCGAAATTTTGACCTTAAACTCAAAACTTCGAATATAACTGAAGTTTAATCCCAACACCAAACCGTTATTTCAATACCTCGACACGTGTTTCGATCACCAAGTGATCATCTTCAAGCGAAAGGTCGCAAATTTTCATTATTTGCCTGAACAACTTTTATTCAAAAGTCGAAATTTTGACCTTAAACTCAAAACTTCGAATATTACTGAAGTTTAATCCCAACACCAAACCGTTATTTCAATACCTCGACATGTGTTTCGATCACCAAGTGATCATCTTCAAGAGGAAGATTAATCTATCTCTTCATATAATCTTCTTCTTGAAGATGATCACTTGGTGATCGAAACACGTGTCGAGGTGTTAAAATAACGATTTGGTGTTGGGATAAAACTCCAGTAATACCTATTCATCATTACACCAAAGGCTCCGAACATTCCATCTCAAAACTTCGACTAATGAAGTCAAAATTATTCAAGAAATAAAAAAGGAAAAGTAGGCCTACTGCACTTCTATATAGTTTCTTTACTTCACAGATGTTTAGATATTAGATATTAGTTATGGTAGGTAGATTCAAGACTCACCTATGTAGGGACAATTCGCATTGATACTATCTATAAATAACTTGATGGCTCTAACATGGTTACAAGCCACAAGTACTCGGGATGCTTCCTCAAGTCCATCTCTGAAAAGTTGAAAGTTTTGTATGTTGAATAAATATAAACAAAAACTAATCTCATTTCAGCTATCAAAAAATAAACTTTCGTTACCTTATGAGGGTGAGTGGCACTAAGGGTGTTTGAGTTATATCACAGCCAGGTTGTTCTTTTCCATCGTTCGGATAGAAGTCCAAATGACCACAAGGTTGAGACATACCATACCCTAAAAATTGTTTTCAAATGTGGATTATCAAACCTACCACATTTAATAGTTACAAAACTCATACTTCCTAGTTGAATTCAATACTCGAAATAATAACAAAAGATATGCAAGACAATCGTCACGGTTGGTATTATTGTTAAAAATTGTATTTGTGTATTTGTCATCAAGTAGATCGTGAAATTAACAAAATAAAATATTTCCATAATACAGCAAATTTTGCACCATAAAATGTAAAAACAAAATATAAATTAAAAAAGGGGAACGAAATGTGAATGGCATAGAGAAATATGGAGATTGAACCGAATCGATACTGTTGAATGAAACATTGTTGATTCCTTGGATATGATGTGAAGTGTAGAAAATATAGAGCAGAGTATAGAATTTAGATTACAGATAAGTATTTCATTTATTGCAAATAAAACCAGTTGTTTCTTAGTACACATAACTGTAGCAAATGAACATAATTCAGTTGAATATATCTTATTTATTTGTATATAGTAAACCTTTGTTTTCCAATTATATTAAGAAAATTGTCTTGAACGACAAATAAAAATTCAATTTTCCATCAGTATATGGAACAGAATATGCCTTTATGGTTATAGCTGTGATAATTTTCAAGGTTCAACATATAAAAATATTCACCATACCTGTTAACCGTACCATAGAATTGGTATTTTTGTTACTCTAGTCTCTAGTTCAAATGATTATAGCGTTATTCGGAGTAGCGTTTGTTGAAAATTTAAAAAACATGTGCATAAAAAGACATATTTCCAAAGTAAGCTGCCTCTCTCTAACATAAAATTATGTAAAAACTATTTCCAACTTGATACCAAAACTACAGTTCGAATTTTCCAGCAAATGTAACCCAGTATTGGTATTTTATTTAACTTGCAATGTTTTCATGCTAGTTCGGGTCAAATCATGTAACTGAATTCGGTAGCAGCAATTTTACTGCTATTGAATAAAAAACATGTTTATTTGAACCATTCGTTTCCGTAGGAATACTAAAATTGTATAAAGCTGTATTTTCTCAACATTGCTGTTTTTTTTTCGAAATGAGGAAACATAACTTACCAAGAAAAATTATTCCCTTTCCATCTGTATGGATGACATCCACTAGTTCTGCATCACTGGGATCCAGTCTCACTTGTGGCGAAATCAACTTACAAACTACTTTTTCGAAGTCTTTTTGGGGATTACTATATAAAAATTCCCCCACGAATGTCGGGGAAATTATTCACCAACACTACCAACGCGAAAGAAATAAGATATTGTACAGGTTTCTTTCTTCTGAAG